CGGTCGTGCACCCGGGACTCCTAGAAAGCAAGTGTGAAAGCATGTCTAGGAGGAGGCGCCCTAGAAAAAACTAGGACGACACATCCAATGGCATTTCTTTTGGAAATTTCCAAGTCTTCCTTGCCCCTTTGCAGGACGCTTGAAATTTAATTCATACGACTGAGTGTGCTGCAGCGCTGACGGCGTCCTCCTGGGCGAGTTTGATTCCTTTTACTAAATGCCACTGGCGGTAAATGCCATTCAACCTTATTACGTGTTCTGGAAACCGCATATAATAATTCATAACAAAAATAGTTTTTTTTTTTTGTTTGTTTGTTTTTTCAATGAAAATAAACAATTTCTAGGAGTGCAAGAAGGAGAGAGAAACCGTTTTACGGCCATGTGTGATCATCAACATCCTTCTACTTGGACAGAGGACAGAGAGTCTGAGAGGACAGTCCATACTAGGGTTTTTACTGACTTTTTACGTTTTTTTGTAGGGCTGTCTAAGGAGACCCTACTTTACTTAAGGATCTGATTATTACAAATTAACAAGATTAATAGAAATTGTTTGTGTATTGACTGTACAGTCATTATAATAGTCGTATTTGGGGAAATTTTCAGTGTTAAATACAGCATACGAAGGACTATGGTTTGTTAATTAAGAGTTTTTTTTGGTGTGAAGTGGGAAAAAAAAACAATTTCCGGAGTAACTGTTCTGCTGACTCTTTGGTCTTGGTCTCTTCATCTGCGCAGGGAGCGAGGCTCAGCCTCAGATCAGCCTCAGCCTCAGCCCAGCCTCGTTCCACAGACTCGGATATCCGGGGCCAGGGCCCATTATCAGGGTTGAGTTTCCTCAAAGCCTGAATCTGGACGTGTTCGTGGAGATGTCAGGTCGAGGAAACTCAACGCCATTTCTGCACATTTCGTCACAAACGTCCAGATTCAGGCATGATTGAGGTAAGTCAACGATCCTAGTGAGGCTAGTGGGACGCGGGCCCCGGATTCGCACTGCTGGTACCCTTGTTGCAAGTTGTTGGCCCTAAAGCACCAGAACACCGCACATCAGCCTTGCAGAAAGTTTTTGCAGCGACAGCCTCACTCACAGGCCAAATGATTTCTTCTTGTTGTTGTTTAAACCCCGCTACCACAGGGCCGCAGGTGTCAGCATGAAACCCGCACAACTTTTTTTTTTTTTGCTAAATTATATGCCCGCACAACTTTGGAGGTCGGCGATTTTTTTGTTTTTTTATTTTAAATCGAACGGCGCCCCACGCACGCCGCGCGGCCCCGCCCAGTTTTGCCTGTCGCTGCAAAAACTTTCTGCTAGGCTGGGCCCCTGTGGTAGCGGGGATTAAACAACAACAAGAAATCATTTTGTGCTTACGCTGCCGAGGACCCCACCCAGAGGTCCTGCCCGTTTGGGGGAACGGAAATACAACCCACTGCAGGTTTAATATTTGAAAGTGAAAAAAAAAAAAAAAAAAAAAAATCCCTAACGCACCCAAGCCATATGTGGCTGAATGGTATGAACTACACTATAACCACACATGTTGGCTAAGATCAAGTGTAGTATCTGTTCTGATCAGTTTAATATCTGATCCGTGGTCCATCGGACCACAGAAAAAAAAAAAAAAAAAAAAAAAAAAAAAAAACATGTTACTTCCCTATGGCTGACTGGAACTACCTGTGGTCTGTACGGCGGCGGTTCATGGGTGTACCAACGGAGCTTAGGCCAGCTGGTAAAGATTTAGGAATCTGGACCTGCTAGCACATAATATACAGACTGGGCTATCTCAGTAGGTACACAGCTGAACTGTTGAAGTATAGACCTGAGTTCGACTGCACGGGGGCCAAGTCCCACTACCAGCATTGAGCTTACTCAAGTTACTCAACGACTGAATGTGGACGTGTTTGTGGAAATGTGCAGAAATCGAGTTGACTTTCCTCAACCGCACCTCTCCACAAACACGTCCAGATTCAGGCGTTGAGGAAAATCAAAGCTGCTAGTGGGACTTGCCCAATGCCCTCCGGAGGCAGATGTGTACACTTGAGATGTCATGGAACTGACCGGCCCTGAAAAACAAAAAACGAACGGGTACACATAAAAAGAGGGTTGTTCCCCCTCCTCCCCCCTCCTCCCCCTCCCCGCGCCCCAAAAAAAAGGAGGGGGGGGGGAGGGGAGGGGAAAATAAAAAAGGAGGGCTGAAGAAACCAGTCCAGAGTCTGAAGGTGCCAACTTGCCAAGCCAAACTGACAAACAGCTTCCCGAGCCCACAAACTAGACACCATAGACCATGCACGTACTATGGGGTAATATATATATATATATATATATATATATATATATATATATATATATATATATATATATATATATATATGGGCAGTTCTATTTGACGATATATATATATATCGTCACAA